TCTCTGTGTGTCGTTTATCACTTTCTAAGGATCAATACAGAACATGAATCTGAAAGATTTATACAAAAGAAAATAGATGAATATACAGAAGAACATGAATCTGAAAGATTTATGCAAAAAAAATATGTTCTTGAGCAAAGAACATGAAATCAAGAACCACAAACACGCCCGATTTCAGAATTTACAAAAAATACACCTTAAACAACCACAAACATGAAATCAAGAGCCACAAAGAACATGAAAGATCTACCCCTTTTCATCTCTGTACCTAAGTCAAACTTTATTTCCCTTCACCCTCTCTTCATTTACACAAACACACACGATTTCAGTTTTGATTCAAATTTAGGCTTTCGATTCAAATTTTCCCTTTGCCCCCACCGGAGAAGACTGTCTGTAAAGGTGATCACAATCAATTATGACTCTTGGATGCGTGCGTCTCATGTGTGTCCCGAAAAGAAGAAGAAATCGATGCCCTTTTCTACGACTTATTCTTAATCGAATCAGGCGGCAAAAATTGCAGCTCTATTCACTCTATTTTCTCCTACATCGACCGAGCTCTCATCTATTTTTATATTTCCTGAATAACACCAGGTTTGGTCCTCCTTTTCTAATCGATCTTAATCCTTCCCTCTTCTTGAATTTGATGTTGCAGATCAGTCATTTCTGGAACTGAAGCTCTATAAAGAAGACAGTGTGTGTACGTGTGTGTTGTGTTCTTGGGTCACAAGAATCCTTCGTTCTTCCCACGATGTCTCATTCCGCCACCGACCTAAAAAGGAAGGAAACCAATGACAACCTGCAAGCATTTCGAGGGCTGGTGAGGGATAACACCTTGGCTACAAACCCTTCTATTAGTTCTTTGATTGTGAGAATGGGTGGGGAAGAAGATGGGGTTGGGAAAACGAGAGGATGGTGAGTGTTATTTATTTCCATATTTTTGGATATGAATGAGAAGATGAAGTTCAACCACTAGAGATTGATTGAGTGTCCAAATTGTATGTGTTCTTGAGAGAGAGAAAGAGAGGGGGGGAGAGAGAGAGAGAGAGAGAGAGAGAGTTGGGTGAGATTATATTTTTTATTTTTAATTATTTAAATACCAAAATAAATAAAGAAAATAGAAAAAAGAAATGAAAATGGTAAAATCAACTTTTCAAGTGTATCAGAGACCAAAAACCCAGAAAAACCTTGATTTTGGACCTTCCATGTAAGTTGAAAACTTTTTGGACCATATCCAAAGTTTTTTGAATAACACAGGGACCAATCTTGCAGTTTTGTCCAGAGTTTTCCTTGGTGTGCCTATCTTTGTGGGCTGCCAAGGGTCATCATAGGACTGAAAAAGCTTGTGTTCCACCATTTGTAGTGAGAATATTTTAAAAGTATCTTGAATAGAATACTATGACCCTTTTTAGTGAGAATATTTTAAAAGTATCTTGAGACCGAGTACTTTTTATTGGAACCAGTACCAACTAATTCTGTGATCGGTTCTGGAATCTAAAGAATCGGTGTAGGCAATTCTGGTTCCGTTTCTATTATTTTAGGAACCGACGGTTCCGGTTCCAAGCAATTTGGTCGGGTACCCGCCTTTGCTCACCCCTACCTGTGACGATGTAAGATATTTTGGAATTATGTAATCATAATGATTTATTCTTCTATGTACTGTTCATGTATGCTTTGACTGTGATATTCATAGACGTCGAGCCTTCCTGCGTTTCCGCCGTCGGTTGAGGGTGTGACACACGAGCTCCTCCACGACCACGAACCATTTATTCGGCCATTCATTCGTTTGCTCTAATACCAAATAATGACCAGACGACCGGATTGAAAGACATAGTACAACAAAAAAGAACACAGAGAACAAAAATAACTCCAAAACTGGATTCTTTATTAATAATCGAAAAACTGTCTAACATGCAATGAAAACGATATACTTATAAGGAGGAGAAGATAAGTCTCATTCATTAACCCTAGGAGATCAACTGATTAGGAAAAACTCCCCAATCAATTATCTAAATCAAAACTCAAAATAAAAAGTCGCAGCAAATAAAAAACTGAAAAAACATGTTTTGAGACTCTAAACGATCTCGAATGGCCGAAAAACACCACACGTCATGGCGAAGCGACAAGTTTTCTTAATCGACCCATTTTACATGTCGTGTTCGCATTTCATCCAATTCTGAGCTATTGAATCACTTCGGCATATTTGGCGCTGATGTTATCTTATTTTCATTCCTACTAGTGCTGATATCATCAAACTATGTATCAGCACTTGTACCACCTGCATAAAAAAATAGCAAACACCGAACAACCACAAAGAATGCCAATGATAAATATGACAATGCATTCTTTGAATGCAAGAAATCAAAACGAAAAACAATGAAACACCACGATATAAAGTGGAAACTCGAAATCTGAAAAAAAAAAAAAAACTATGAAAATGATACTCTTATTAAATGGTTACATGTTTGATAATCTTCCCCGATGAGAGAGGAGAGAAATAAGATGTAATAGAATAATTAAAACATTATATCAAAATGACTTTATATAATAGCCTTACAATGTCTTTTAATGATACTCTAAAACCCTTATAAATAAGAAATGTTACTCAATACATGTGTTAGTGTAATCAAATAATATCTCTTTAATAGATGTTATGTTCGGAAACTATATATAACAAAAATGAAATAAATGAGGTTCGAACATCTTTAAGATTACCTTTAATGGAATTTTGGTTGTTCGAAAAAAAAAGGATAACAAATTATATTGGTTTGACATTATTTGAACCTTGATGTAAATGATGTTTTTTTTTCTAAAACATCTAACTTAGTAACTCACATACACACTGCCGGATTTCTAAACCAACATTTTTCTTTCCAAGCCGAACTTGAACCATTAAGCTTTGGTATTTTTGTCGAATTCTTGATACCGCAGGCCACATGCCCTTTGGTTTAACCTAAACAATGTTACCTTATTAAAAATTTTCTATAGATCAAACACTTTGTTTATAATAGTGAAACATCAATGAAATGATCAAATATTAAAGGAACACTTTATTATTTGAACATATAATCCTGCAAACATTACTGATACGTACAATAGCTTCGTTTGAAATCTTAATCAAGTAAAAAAGAGTTTAAATATTAAAGCTAAGAACTTTTAATTACAACATTTATCCTTCCAATAGCATGATGATAGATAACACACTCACAATTTGAATGGAATGACCATGAGTGGTACCTTTTTCGACAACGAGATTCCAAACCTCTCTCCCATATCCATATCTCGTGCTCTTATATTTCCTTCTAGCTTCCAGTCAAACTTCTGAATCAAAGAGCCCAAGACTATGTGTAACATTCTATGGGCAGAATTCAATCCCGGACAAATCCTCCTCCCAGCACCAAATGGAATAAGCATGAAATCATGTCCTTTATAGTCGATCTTGACTTCGAAAAACCTCTCAGGTATGAACGTCTCTGGGTCTGACCAAATACTCGGGTCTCGGCCCATCGCCCAAACATTACAAAGGATTTGTGCATTTTTAGGTACAATGAAACCTTGGATTTCTAGGTCCAGCATGGCTCGGTGAGGGAGAAGAAGTGGGGCCGGAGGATGTAGCCGGAGAGTTTCTTTTATAACAGCTTGTAGATAAGGGAGTTTAGATATATCATTTTCGTGTATATTTTTGTTGTTGTTTTGCATGAATTTAGTGAGCTCTGATCGAGCCTTTTCCATTTTATGTGGGTTACGAATCAGCTCAGCCATCGCCCATTCCAACGTGGTTGAGATTGTATCGGTTCCGGCAACAAATAAATCCTACACTTATTTATGAAATGATTAGTGGTACTGGGTCAATATTTCTAAACTATGGTACTTGTACTAATGTTTCAATCACTAGTTGGTCAATATCAAGCGCAAATTGTTTTTCTTTGATTTTTTTGAACTATCTGGCATTTTTTGAATGGCTTATGATGTTCCCTATAACAATTAAAAATCATTTTTAACTTATTTATAGGTTCTCAATTTTAATTTGTATAACTTCAAGAGATAATAAAATCAAAGAAAGAAAAAATAATTTTTTATTTTTGAATAAGTTGCTTTTAACCGCACAAGTCAACTTATTTGAAAAAGCTCTCAAAGTCTATCTTCATTAAACTGACAAACAAATAGGAAGATATTCAACCACATTGAACAAAGTTTCTGGGTCTATTTTCGATAATAATGATAAAGAGTATTGCATTAATAGTTTAATATCTTTTGAACAAACGAGAAATAGGAAAAGAGTCCATGTCTTACTCTGTTCTATTTTTTTGGTTGCGACAAAAATTTAAATTTTTTCTCATTGACTTCACTTAAAGTCGAGTCTCATGTAAACCAAAAGCAATAAAAGGTCATCCAAGTTGTCATGCCGTGCATAATTAAGAAACTGAGACTAAACTTATTTACTTACCAAGAACAAGTGTCTCATATCATTAGGAGTAATTTCAGATTCATCTTTCATGATAAGATCAAGCAGCAAGTCCAACAAATCGGGGTTTTTCGATGAATGATCACCATCATACGATGAACTGGATCTTTCTTGGATTCGTTGATGGATGATCATATCAAAAATAGACAGTAGCTTCTTACCATAAACATTTGATCGTCGTAGAAACCCTTGTAGATCGAATGGTTTAAGTATGGGAAAAAAGTCTGATAAATTCGGGTTCCCAGAAAGTTCCATCAAACCACATACAGCATACTTGAATCCTTGTGAGGACACTGAATCATATTGAGATAAATCTCTTGAGAAAATGGCGTTTGATAGAATGTTAAGAGTTGTAGTAAATGCAGCTGCACCTATGTTTAGGGCCTTTCTATTTGAGCAATATTGACTAACATGTTCAAGAAGTTCTTGTACCTTCAAGTATAATCATACATCAAACAATCAGTAGTTGTAAAATATTTGAATATATTAAAACCCTACTTGTACGAGTCGTAGCTTCTCCTGGCGTACGAGCTCGCTAGCATCTAGGCGTTGCATGGTGAACATAGATTCTCTGGTAATTCTTCTTAGCCTTCGCCACTGATCTCCGGCCGGCAGCCACACCATGGAATATTTATGGTGGTCAATCAGTCTGGCTGCATCCGGGATGACTCTGCTAGAGGAGGATTGGTCATATGTTTGAAAGACTTTTTGGCGATATGAGGCGATGAAACTACCATGGTTGTTATGCTTCCAAGCTTAAGAGACATTAACGGGCCATAACATTTAGAGAGCGTTGCGAGGGAGTAGTGGGTTTTTCGCCAAGGTCTAAAAGGTTTTCGATTATCGGATAAGGGTAGGGTCCCGGTGGAAGCCGCGACTTGCGGCGACAAGAGACGATGAAGGCATAGATGAATGTTAAAAAGAAAGAAAGTACGAGAAAAATGGTTAGATAATCCATCAGTTTGTGTGGTTTTCTATTGAGTACCCCTTTATATAAGAAATGGTCTCTCTTTCTCCTTTATTTTTCCAAATATACATAAAAACAATATTAATTTACAATATAAAAAATATTTCACAAATATAAATAAATCAAAATATGACCTTAAAATAAATCTAAAAGTTATATAACAATATTAGCCTAACAATAACTAAAAGTTCAAAAATTAAAAATATATTTTTTCCTAATTTTGTTTTTTACAGTCAAAGTCGTTTGGAGGCCCTCCTCCTATATATAGATGCTTAGTGTTTTGTAACAACAATTTCATATCTTTGGCCATTTGCTTTTCGTTCACGTGCTAACTTTTTTAGACACCATTTTTCTATTTCGAATTCAATATGCACATTAAAAATATCAAACGAATCGGTTTAGAGAGTTCAGAAACGGTTTTCTAGTTCCAAGGGTAAAATTGGAAAGTTTTCTTTTATTGATTTTATTCCAAGTTTTTGTGTTTTAGTCAAACACCTTGTGTTTTAGTATAAATATAGGACGTGCTTTTTTCTTAATTGTATTCAAAACCCAGTTTAGCTTATTAATAAAGCTTTGACAGCAAGTAACATCCGTTGTTTGATTACACTTGGTATCAGAGCCTATGGTTCGTGAAGACAGAGAAGGTCGGTTTCAAGAAAAGTATAGCCTTTCGCTGCAAGGCAGACGCAGTAGGAAACTAAGTTCGGTTGAAGGGGGCGTGATTCGAGGTTGATTGCAACCAACCCCGATTTCTCTTGACCGAGCTTGTTTTAATGTAGCAAGAGACTAACCGCAGGCAAGGAAAAGACGATCAGAAAGACATAAAAGTGGATGACTTTGATTCGGTTCGTTTTGCGGGTGACAGAAGACGGTAAATGTGGCAGTGACCTTGTCTTGTTGTTCGGTGGAAGAGTGCTCTCGGAACAAGCTTGATTAAAGAGGTCGGGGTTGTCGAAAGAGAGAATAAGACGTTGATCGGCTGAAATCAAATGGTAGAAATATCAAAGGGTTGTGTTTACATTAATTGGAAAACAATGATTAGCGAGGAAGAAAGATCGACTTGTTTGTGATAATGGGAGACCGTCATAGGTGTGTTAAAAGCGGGCATAAAGAATCCGTCAAAGCAGGTAGCTTTCGATTCAGTTCGTTTGGCAGGTTGAAAGAAAACGGTGAAGCGGGTGGCTTTGTTTTCTTAGTCAGCGGAGATGCTTCTTTGACCAACGGTGATCGAAACAAAGGAAGAGATTGGATAAACTACACGGTGTGAACATTAGGGCGTTGGATTTCAAATCGGGTGGCTTTGGATGTGGCCGGGGAGAGGTCGGGATCCAGAAAAAGTCAAGATGGTAATGAACATGTCCAACGGGATGTTATGGTATATGTCACATGTGTTGTCAACAATCAAAGGGATTGAGAAAAAACTTTAGACGTGACCGAGGTGAAGGTCGGGTGTCCAGGAAAGATCGAGAATCGGGATGGTTCGAAAAGATGATGATTAAACAATGTTGTGAACGAGTGGTATGATGAACTGATTAAGGGGGTGGTTGTTGGGTTAATCGGTTTAGAGAGTTCAAAAACGGTTTTCTAGTTCGAAGGGTAAAATTGGAAAGTTTCCTTTTATTGAGTTTATTACTAGTTTTTGTGTTTGAGTCAAACACCTTGTGTTTTAGTATAAATATAGGATGTCCCTTTTTCTTAATTGTATTCAGAACTCAGTTTAGCTTATTAACAAATCTTTGATAGCAAGTAAGTTCTGTTGTTTGATTACACTTGATATTACACGATATAACAATTTTTTTTGTTGTCATCATCGTTCAATTCGATCCCGATACGAACATCCGTCGAAGTCTTTGACCGCCTTTTCAATTATTATGCAAATTGTTATATGATTCGTTAAATTTCGTGACTACTGTTGGTGATTTTAGTGTCAGAGGTTCATTTTATGTAATGAGATTTATACATGTTTCGAAGGGGATTATATCTTCGTTTAATACATGGTTGGAGGTGCGATGTGACATCCCCAAATTCACGGTCATTTTAAAAAAAATTATTTATGTTTATTTGAAAATCAGAATACCCTTTTGATAAAAATGTTGCGGAATTTGTTCCCAGAAAAACATGATAAATGTGTTATCAAAGCATTTATGAAGAAATGTATTTCATTTCTTTTAAAACTTTGGGATGTCATCGTCAATAAAGAAATATAAGCATAAACAGTCCTTACATTCATTTACACTAGTGATCTACATCTCCTTAATCTCTCAGTGTAAAGTAGCTTCGTATCGACACCTGTGATACAAATAAACTTGAGTGGGTCAGGTTGGGAAACCAGATGAGTACATAGAGTTTTCAACCCACAATAATATAATTATGTTTAATCATTAAACAATCAACCCAATTATCCATCCCCATTATCTTCTTTATTTCTTAAGGATCTATCCTAAGAATCATTTATCATTCACTCATTCATTCCTAAGGATTGTCGTAAGGAATAGGCACGAAGTCCATCGTTTGCCTAATGACACAACTGTCAATATTATCTATTAAGCACAACTGCCAATATTATCATTTAGGCGCAGCTACCAGAATTATGACATTCTCTATTAAGCGCAGCTGCCGATATAGTCCTTTGGTCGCAACCGCCTATACTACCCTTTAAGCGTAACTGCTACGATGTTTAGAGTACATCTTAGATCAAAACATCTACAGGTTGTGGCACAGCTGCCAATGCTCATCTATAGGGTACTAAGTCCATTGCTGCCAATGTTCACCTATAGGGCACTATGTCCATAACTGCCAATGTTCCTCTATATCAGCTTTCATCCCTTATCATTCATCCACACATGTTTTACCCAACATATTTTGTAGAGATAAAATACATATACAGTTTAAATCATTTAAAACATGTATAAGATCGTTCATCTAGCATAGATATCAACTAAACAGATAATATGCACACATAGCACGTAATTTATATACTTCATATCTATGTGTAAGATGAAAGTAACTATGCACTCACTTGTTAAAGTGATGATTGCACACTCGGGCAGCGCTTCGCTTCTAACGATTCTATTTTCCTTCGACGAAACCTAGCATTATTATCGCTAAGTTTTAGTCTAATCTTTATTGCAACTAATTATTAGTCTAGATTCATCATTAACTCAAAGTGTACTTCATGATCTATCAAGTAAGGAACAACCAGGTAGGATCATATCGGGGGTAGGGTCCGTTTGGTATACAAAGTATACTGTTTGAAAATCCCACTTTAAGCACCTCACTAAATCACAGCCTAGACGTAATCCTCGTAAGTAGATCAATCAGTATAATGACTTTGAATCACTGATAAATTTTATTTATAGGTTCATAATAACGATATTATAAGCTAGATTTAAAGTAGGGTAGCATAACTTACTTAGCTAGGACCGGGCTCTGTAGGGGCAAAACTTCGTCGCTGAATCTTTCTAAGAAAGATTCTTCTAGCGCTTCAACGCTCACCTTACTATACTAAAAACTACAGAAAGAGAAGTCGAATCACGAGGGACCGAAATGCTCGGGGGATAAGAAGAGAAAGACTATTGAATCAAGAGAATGGTGCAGGAAATATGAGAGCCTAGAGGCTCTTATTTATAGTAATTGAATTTTCAAAAACCACCCTCTATATTTACTTAAATGACTAAACACCCCTTTATAATACTATTTTAAATAGATTTAATGATATGCGTGTAACGCCCCGACTCTCAGGTATTAATTTTATGGCTTTAATTTTCATAAATTGCAAGGTCTACTCGACGAGTTGGATGCCCTGACTTGTCGAGTAGAAGCGGGTTTGGCCACATGTTTAAGTGACCGACTCGCCGAGTCCAAGATAGGACTCGACGAGTAGGAGTTGGAGGATGAAACCCTAATTTTCGGGGTTTTTCACCCTATTTAAAGAGTCATTAGCCTCCCTTACAACCTCTTGAGAGTCCAGAAAAGCCTAATCCGTGTGTGTGCTCCATTCTTGTGTGTTTTAAGCTTTGCAAGGTGGATCTTAGTGAGAGGAGCTTGAAGATCAAGTACCTTGAAGCAAAGAACGTGTGTGGATCTGAATTCTACCTCAGTGTAGCATCATTTGAAGGTATCAAGTCGTTACCTTGACCTTATTTCTTCCTAGATCTCATTTGGTTAAAGATTAGGCCTTTTCTAGCATGTTAGGAAGCCATTCTTGGGTATGAGCTAAGATCTGAACCCTTCTGGGTCTCTAAGTCCGTAAAGCTTCCAGCTTTAGCAAGAGTAAACCTTTCCTTATGTGTTAAACCCCATTTTAAGCTTTTATTTGATATTCTAATTCTTTACAGCCTTGCATGCACGTAAAGTTTGCAACTTTACGTGATAAACATGCGTTGGGAAGCTTGATATGCGATATGGAGCCTTAGAATGGCTTAAAAAGCATATGAATGAAGAAATGACTGAAGGGACTCGGCAGGTTGCATGGCCAACTCGGCGAGTCCGATGAAGATTGTCGTGCAAGGGCTTCTTCATGGACTCGGCGAGTCAGTAGGGTGACTCGACGAGTCAGTTAGGGATTCCCCGACATTTAGAGACACACAAACTTGGCGAGTTACAGGGAAACTCAACGAGTCAACCAAGGATTTCACAACTTTTCGAGTTCAGGAAG